CGTCACGATATGTTAGCAGTGAATTCAAACGTTTTGGTATTTTTCGTTTATTCAAATAATACGACACGTAAATAATTTACTTTATTGGCAGCTACAAAATCGATGCGCGGGAGTGGTAGGTGAAAGTAAAAATAGATTAAATAAAAATAAATAAATAAATAAACCAATTAATTTGTGTTTAGCCCTCCATTGTTGACTTAAATTTTAATTAGTGCACAGCTCAAGAAACCTAAAAATGTAATTTTATTCCCCACATAGTAATTAATTTTTATATTTTTATCTTATTTTACTTTTTACTAGCTTCAAAAGTGACTTAGGGAGGAATTATTTAAAAGACTATTTTAACCTTCTATTAAAATTTAAATTTACAAAGCATACCACTAATAATTATGAATTTTAAATTTGTGATAAAATAATTTAAAATACATTTTGTCATATGTTTTAATAAATATTCATAAAATAATTAATTAATTTATAATATTAATTTATGAAATATTGAATTAATGGATGAGGTGTCACCACCAAACTTTGGCGATGACAAAGATCGTCAAATCAAGTCAAACTATAATAATTTCTATAATAATTTAAAAGTGTGTTTTTTGTATTATTTAATATATTTTTAATTGTAAGGAATTGACGCCGACGTGTCGTCTTTCCGCCGCAGGGCCCCACCAAACTCTTTTATGAGAAAAATCTAATCACCTTTTTTTAAAATAAATAAATAAATATTTATTTATTTATATTTAAATGTGTGCATGCCATCAATAATTTTGCAAGGCCAAAGCCACCTTTTTCCATTTTTATTTTTATTTTGTTATAAATAATAATAATAATAATATGAATGGGAAAAAGTCGACGTGGACAACCCAAACTGCCAATAGAAAAATTCCAGCTGTTTTCTTGTAGATATTTGGACTTTAGCAAGGGACCACATGTACACGTGGTGCACATACGCTGTCCCACGTGGAAAGCCAATTTCAATTATTGAAGTTTGAATAACAATTTTTTTTTCTTTTTTATGTGTTTTAAAAAATAATTCCCTCAATTTTAAAAAATTTAATGTGTTTCTATTTTTTTCGGTCGTCTCAATCATCTTAATTTAAATTATAATTTACAGATATTTGCAAATAATAATTATTTATAACGTCGATAATAAAATTAGCTTTTTTAAAAAAAAAAACTTTTAAAATTGAATTATTTAAGAAAATATCTTTAGAAGATTGATCTTTTTTGGACGATGGAAAGCAAACTAGATATCCAATTATAAAAGTCATTAATATAATTAATAAATTATATATAAACAATTTCATATATATTAATATAATTAATATGACGTTTTCATGTCTAGGATTTGAATTGCACTTAATGGTCTAAGCATTTCTCGACATCTCTTACGACATTGTCATGTTACCTACATTTTACTTTCAAGAGTGAAAATTCCAACACGGGTCCTTCGAACGTGATTGGTCCTCACTCACATGCTTCTTGGGAAATTCTCGAAATTTAGAATTTTTCAAAGCAAAACGCGCTTAATTTTGAAGTTGATATGATTGAGCCACCCACCAAAGAAGCTACGACTTGTTGATTCTTGTAAGTCTGTTTGAGTTATCATATTTTTAAAGATGGGTCTCCGTTCATTGATGTTTTTAAAAAATTTCATGGTGGTGACTTATTTAACATCTTTAGAAGCAAAGGATTAAATTTGTAATTTAACTTAATATAAATAAATAAATAAATAAATAAATAAATAAATAAATAAAGTGGGATAATTTTTTTATTCACTAAATGGTCCATTTGAATTAAATTTATTTAATGTGCAAAAGTGGAAGCTTATTCAAAAGAGGTGCACTCACCACTCAAGAGATAAAGTTAACAAGAAAATTGATTGTTTTAATTTTAAATTTCACATTAAAAAAATCATTAATATTTTCAAATTAATAATAATAATAATATAGTAGCCACCAATGGAATCTCAAAAAGAATTCATAAAAGATTATGTTAAAAATTAATATAATATATATATATATATATATATATATATAATGTGAATGAGTTGTGTCCGCTTGTGCCATTCACATGAAACCAATTTTTTAAGGTTGTAATTAAAATAACAAATATTTTAAGCTTTTCTCCTTATTTAAAAATTAAATTGTTTATGAGAATAGGGCTTTGTGGGGACCGGGTTATAGGGAACAATATCTACTAGTAAAGCTAGAGACTGGATGGTATGTCAGCGAGGACGATGGCTCCAAAGAGGGGTGGATGGTGAGTGTGAAATCCCTTATAAGGGTATAGAAACTTCTCCTTAGAGGACGGGTTTTAAAACTTTAAGAGGAAGTCCAATAGGAAAAGTCTAAAGAGGATAATATATGTTAGAGGTCGGGTCGAGCTGTTATAGTGAGATCTTACACTGGTCTGAGAGGGAAACGAAATATTCTAAAATCGTGAGGTTAACGAGAATGTATAAATATTTAAAATATTAAAAAAAAAAATATTTGAAGTGAGTGAATATTAGAGAGACATTTGTGGAAGTGGGTTAAGAGGGGGATGATAAGGTAAATAAATGGAAGGAATAAAGTGGGGGCACACGTGTGAAGTGGGGAGAGACGAGAATTGGGGGAAGAGCAGGAGCACGTGCGGAAGTGGGGATTTTAGTGTAAGAGCTGTAGAACCAAATACTGCCGGGTTGACCGGAGACAACCGGGTCACGCTCAAGCGTGGCTCCTGCCGCCTCACGCTCTCTAACTAAATCCTCACGCCTTCTCCTTCTCATCACTTTCCTTTCAATTCTCCATTTTCCTCTCTTTTTCCTATTCCTTTCTTTATTCCCAAATAAATAAATATATATTTTCATCGTTAATAGTTCGATGAAGATTTGTTTAGACTATAATCACACTGTGCACAAAAATTTTACTCTGTCTCTTTATCATTCTCGACAATGCTTCACTCACAAGTAAACTCTAAAGTATATATTAATGGTGTAAGTTACATTTTTTTCCATTTTTATAAATTACCCACTTAAAGAAATCAAAAACCCAGTCTAACTAAGTCGATAATTTTACTTAAAGGAAGAGATTTGTAGCTCGAGAATTTAACTAACCTCGTAATCGATGGATAAGGAAGGTGGTAAGTAGTGTTGGACAAGGAAGGTGGTTGATTATGTGGGAAGAGGGACCCAAGAAATTGAAGTGGTAAGCAAGCATTGAATAATATTATTACCCACATGAGAAATAAATAAAGAAATAAATAAAATGATGATAAATGATAGATAATAATGAAAATAAAAGATAGGAAGAATTTAAAGGCGGTGTGAGACAAAGGTGGACCCCACACATTCTGTTCACTCTTTGACCTTTGACTGTCCTCTACTTTCACTCTAATAATAGCAAACACAATTCCCTTCACCTAAACAAAATCATGGTTTGCCCTACCTCCCTATTAACTATATCTTTCCACAAAAGCCCCCACATTTTTCCTTTATTTACCCTTTTAGCCTTACAATTTTAAAATTATCTATTAGATAGAGGTTTTCACGCTCCTCTCCAACCAATGTAAGATCTCACAATCCACCAATTAGGTCTAGGTCTAGGGTCCTTGCTCGCTGGCACACAATTCACCCCTTATGTCTAGGGTCCTTGTTGGCACTCTGTTCGGTGTTTGGCTATAATACCATTTGTAATAATTAAAACCCATCGTTTGGACCAATTACATGTTGTCAATCTCACAATTTTTAAAACTAAGGTAGGATCTCACAATTCACCCCTTAGGTTTAGGATCCTTAATGGCACTACACGGTGTTTGACTCTGGTACCATTTCTAATAATTCGAACCAATTGTTTTGACCCATTACGTATTGTTGTCAGCCTCACGGTTTTAAAATGCGTAGACTAGAGAGAGATTTCAACACTTTTGTAGCATCTACTAGGGAGAGATTTCGACACTTTTTCCACTCTGAATGCTCAGTTCCCCTCTCCCACCGATGTAGAATCTCACATCTTTAGTAACAAATTTAATATTAGAGAAACACTTCTTTGTAATCGATTTTTGTTTTTATTTTCATATATTCTAAGTTATTCGAAAAGATATAGAGCTAGTCAATCTACAACTCGTAAAGAGAAACTAATGCTTATCACTTAAGCTTTGGTGATGTAGACAATATAAATGGTTGTAGCATCTCCACTCTTTCAAAAAGATCGAACGTTTGAATTCTTTGCTATATACGGTGATGTAATATTCTAAAAGAAAGATCATCAATTTATTAAGAAAAATATCATCCGTCAAAGATAACCCATTTATTCCCATCCCTCTAAAAGGTCTCCCGTTTGAATTCCTTACTTCATGTGATGTAATATTCTTAAAAAAAAAAAAAAAAAAAAACGATCCGTCAAAGATAAGCATTTGATTTGGAATATAAATCTAACACGAACAAGAGGATTTTAATTACTACTAAAAAGAGCAAACACGATAGAAACAAACCTGCCAGGAAATAGTTGGATTAAAGGAGGCAAAAAAAAAAAACTTGCAAATTTTCTCAATGATGAAGAAATATGGATTGAATTTGTAGGTAAATGTTAGATGAACACGACTCTCCACAATGGTATGATATTGTCCACTCTGAGCATAAGCTCTCGTGACTTTATTTTAGGTTTCCCAAAAAGTCTCGTTACTAATAGAGAGAGTATTCTTTGTTTATAAACTCATAATCATTCTCTAAACTAGCCGACTTTCATTGTCGTGAAATGCAAGAAAGAAGAGAAGAGAAGAGGAGGATTGATGTAAACAGGGAGAAGAATATGATCTTCCAAGGACAGGTAAATGGTGGAACCCACATCCAAACACTCCTACTTCTTTCACTTTTGACCAAAATTGCTAAACACACCCACCAGTCTAATTAACTAAACCCGGAATTAACCATGGTTAGGTCAGAGGGGGAAAAAAAAAGAAAAAGAAAAAGAAATTCCTGCACCACACGTGTGGGGGCGAAGTCAGATAAGGGGCAAGTCGCAGAAGGGGCAGAAGAACAGAGTACGCAGAAAGCAGTCTTTGTTTCTCTCTAAACTCTCTCTATCTTTTACCTGTTGGGTATGTCTCTCTGTTCCATTCAATTCTAGAGAGAAGAAGAACAAACACAGAGAGAAAAAGAGGAAAAAAGGGAGTGTAAAGGAAAAGCTAACACTGAAAATTTGCAGAGCGCTCAGATTTGTTAGTATTAGTATTTGTGGTTTCTGTGTTTGTTTGTGTACCGTCGTCCCCCACCTGTTTGTTTGTTTTTGACGAATTTTCTCTTTGAATTAAAGAATCGAAGCAGAGAGATTAGGAAAACATGCCTGGAAGTGTTGTTGTTGAGCCCTTGGATTTGAGCGTGCAGATTCCTTACCATTTCAGGTGCCCGATTTCTCTCGAGCTCATGCGCGATCCGGTTACGGTTAGCACTGGCCAGACCTACGACCGTTCTAGTATTGAGTCATGGGTGGCCACCGGCAACACTACGTGTCCGGTCACTAGGGCTCCGCTTACGGAGTTTACGCTCATCCCTAACCATACGTTGCGACGCCTTATCCAGGAGTGGTGCGTTGCGAATCGGTCTTATGGCGTTGAGCGGATTCCGACACCGAAGCAACCGGCGGATCCGTCTTTGGTTCGGTCTCTGCTTGGCCAAGCTTCGTCGAAATCGAGTGGTTCGAGTTCGAGAATCTCGGCTGTGCGGCGGTTGAAAGGACTTGCTCGTGACTCGGAGAAGAATCGGTCGTTGATTTCTTCTCTGAATGCTCGTGAAATTCTTATTGATGTTGTGTTTTCGAATTCGGATTCGGATTCGGTTTCTCCTGATTTGAGCCGCGAATCGCTCGCGTTGCTTGTGATGTTGCCGCTCACGGAATCTGAGTGCGTTCTCGTTGCGTCTGATCCGCAACGGATTGGTTACCTGTCACATCTTCTTTTTGATTCTTCGATTGAAGTCCGAATCAATGCCGCTGCGTTGATTGAAATCGTGATTGCAGGAACTCGAGCGTCCGAGCTTCGAGGACAAATTTGCGCTATCGACGAACTATTCGAAGGCGTGGTCGAAATTCTCAGAGATCCAACGGCGTATCCGCGAGCGGTGAAGGTCGGAGTTAAGGCCTTGTTCGCTCTCTGTTTAGTGAAACAAACCAGGCACAAGGCGGTTTCCGCCGGCGCCGCCGAGATTCTCATCGACCGATTCCCCGATTTGGAGAAGTACGACGCGGAGAGAGCCCTAGCAACGATCGAACTCATTTGCAGAATTCCAACTGGTTACGACGCGTTTGCCTCTCACGCGCTCACAGTTCCGCTTTTGGTGAAAGTCATTCTGAAGATCTCAGACAGAGCAACGGAATCAGCAGTCGGAGCTCTGGTATCGCTGTGCTCTGCGTCGGAGGAGAACCGACGGGAGGCGGTGGCGGCAGGGATTTTCACACAGCTGTTGTTGCTGGTGCAAAGCGATTGTACGGAGCGAGTTAAACGGAAATCCCAAGTGCTCCTGAAGCTTCTTCGAGATTCATGGCCGCAGGATTCCGTCGGAAACTCAGACGACTATGGTTGCAGTGAAATTGTGATACCGTTTTATTAATTCCGATCTCTCACGTCCGTTCATTCTCCGGGAAGAACAAAGAAGAACAAAGAAAGTTTCAGTAGTTTTCTGTATGTAATTTTTGTACGTAAATTTTTTTTCTTCAATAGCTTTCAGCAAAAAAAAAAAAAAAAAAAAAAAAAAAAAAAAAAAAAAAAAAAAAAAAAAAAAAAA